AGTAGTAAAGAATGTTTATGGAAATCATATTCGTATTGGGCTTTCTGTTAAATTTGTTCGGTTACTAAAAAGTTCCTCTTTTCATTCTATAATTAGACAATAAAACTGAAACTATAAATTTTATAATAGGAAGTTGGAATTCATATATCTATTGTGAAGTGTGAAGGGATATTATTCGATAGAGCATCAATTGAAATCAATCTGATGGAATAATTGCTCTTGTATATCTAATCGCAACTAACGAAAGTATAATAATCACCTAATTGTAGAGAATATCATCTAGGGAAAGAAGGAAAGAAAAATCACTTCTCCATATCACACCATTTAATTGAAACTGTATGTTTCGATCAACTATCCATGGGAGATGAATGTCTGCATGTGTTTATCAACTGTCTCTCATACTAAATAGGCATATATTCATCATGGGTTACTGAGCATTCGTGTGGATTTTACGTCCCACCTACTGACTAAATACTAACTGTCTATCAATGCAAAATAATTTATCTATTTTCACTGAATACACTGCTAATGAGCCATACAAGTTTGTTTTTATTTTCCCTGTCGAGACAAAAATATAAGATGAAATTATTTCTGTCTTTGTCTTATTTAACAAGTACTAAACAAAAGCAACTAATTTTCTAATCAACAATGGTTAATCTTTTGATTACATAAAATATAATTTTGATGACTACATGTCGAATGTCTTTCATATGATACTTTCAAAAAGAAAAAGATATCTAAATTCTTGTTTCTATTATCGATATGAATCTGGGTCATGTCAAACTAAAATAAATATTCAATGAAAATATTATTGACGTTTTTTTTTCTCATTTTCATTATGAGACAGACAGTGTGAGCAAGAAATGTGAATTGATGAACCTTGAAAATGAGGAAATCAGAATGATAAGAGAGAAAAAAATCACACTCTTCCTCATGATCGACGATGAGATGTAATTCAGGACATAAACGTGTTGAACTATCTCTTTCGAAAAGCCATCAGTTTCACTTAATTAATTCCCTCCCCAAGGTACAACAATAGTGAGATTCATCATCTCTTCTTCTCTTCTTTCTCACCTTCCCAATAACTAACTCATCACATAAGTGTTCAATTAGCCACTTGTGTCTATATTTACATAGATGATGATCCATTTTGTTCGAATAGCTCAATGATAATATTGTTTATTGAATATTGTGTTGATGATCCTCTTGTTATACCAATAACAAAACACCTTGTGTAAATTAATTGAACACTAGTGATATGCATCAATAAACAAGGATTATTGTTCTATCATAAATCTTCACTGTACTGAACATTTGATAACATTTATAGAAGTAGGTTTATTCGTTCATATAATCATTCCCTAAGTACTTTAGGTATACTAATTGCTTTCGCTTAAAGACCGATGCTCAAGTCAAAGTTGTAACCAACAAGCTTTTGCCACTGAATGAAATATCATATGCATACCTTTTTTCTTTGATATCATATGTTAGCAGCAAGTTGATGCACACGTTTTCAAGTAGTGAAAAAGTATTTTTGAAAAAAACTATCAGTTCTATTTTCTTCTATTCGCCTCGATTGTTTTAATTCTTGAATTGAAGTATATTTCATTTTGTAAATAAATCTGTGTAAACTGTATTATTGCAGTCAAACTTCTCAACTCACTTCATTGAAATTACAGTAATCTCCAGAGTTAGGCTGAGTCAGTTGTTTGAAGAGAAGCATTAAACTATTCTGTTAAACCTCAATGGAAAAAATTCTAAATATGTACCTTAGTTATCACCTATTGGGTAAATGACTGCTGCCTTCTACGAGAAAAATATCGCATATTCCTCCTTATGAAATCTTACAGATATAGACTAGGAAAACATACAATGAATGCTATTTGAAGCTATTGCTATTAATCCATTCTAATTGACCTAACAAATCAGGTAGTTTTTATCAGTCTGCAAAATTCTTTGAACCGGCTGATCTTCAGTCAAACCGTACTGGTTCGAAAATCCTAGACCTGTTAGAGCTCTGAGTGAGTCGTATGCTGAATTAGATATTTAATTTCAAAATTTTAGTGAAAAATACTCATCTTTCAGGAAATTAAGAACATGTGGGAAGTGTCTACAAGTTAATGATAAACAATGTGAGTTCAATATCTAACTTTCATCAACCGATAACATACTCATTATTGATTATTCTCGTAAACATGTATTTTTTCTATCAAAGATCAATACTAAATAAATAGCTGATTAAGAACTCAAAAAATAAAAATGATTGAAAAAAAAATTATTTTTTCTACAAAGAATATTCAATATTATATTATGCGACTGTTTAGGATATCAAGATTGAAATTTAATATGAGCGAATTGTTGATGCGTCACTGTTGAGTAAATGTTTATGTCGATGGATCAGAAAAGAAACCGATAACATGAGATTTTTTAAATGAATCGCCTCTATAAAAATGAAGAAAAAAAAACATAGAAACAAACTGAAAATGTCATGAACTGAATTTCAAGGAAATAAGTTAGAATTTGAAGAACAAAAAACGATGCGACACTCTATCATTAAAACGTTTTATTAGTATCAAATAATAAAGAATAATAGAATAAACCCTATGTTCTTAAAGAAACAAAGCACAGTTTTAGTCGCCGGCAAGTGATATTCAAATAATGATCAAACATGAACTATACAGCCTGTTCAACTAAAAAAAAGCCATACCTGACCAAAGTTGACCAGCGTATTTCACAAATACAAAACGAATGAACTTGTTCAAAAGAGTTTTTAGGTCATCATATATTCTAAATCGGTAGATCACATTTGTTTTGAATACAGTCAAAAAGAAATGGTAGTCATCAGAGCCAGGTCAGTGAAAATTTTCTCCAGTACGAGTACCACAAATGTCGTACTGGCCTAGCTTTAGTAGTTGGTTCTCAAAATCGAGCATTTTCTGTACAAAAATGGAGCAAAAAAAAGGTCCTACTTTGTTTTCCCCATTTTGAACACTATGGTATCATTTTAAAAAAATGGAAATAATAGTAATATCATCGAAAGATGTGCTATAATTTGACACTAGTAGGCCACCTTTTCATGCTTTCTCAAAACTCGAAAGAAACAATGTTTTCTAGTGAATCAAAAAAAAATTATTCTGAATACATTACTGCAATGTTTTAGTGGTAACTATTTCTCGGAACAAGCTTTCGGAAAAACACAAATTTCATCATCGTGAGTTACGTTGACTTAATTACAAATACAAATGAAAATATTTTGTTTAGAGTAAGAAAATATGCAAAAATGTTAACTTTTCTGAATAGCTCTAACCAAAAGAATCTTTTGAATGAGTGCGTTAGCATGATTTTCTAATTTTTGAAAATTTTAGTGAAACTAGAGTTTGTAAGTATCCCACTGCAATGCCAGTTTCAGCTCTCTGTCAAAGTAAATTGCCAAATTATAACAACTCGAAGATCCATAACGAGGAAATGAGTTACTTGTGAACAGGCTGTAAAAAGTTATATTACAGTATTTTTCGGCGATAAATCTATTTGTTTATTTAAAATAATTCATTGATCATTCAAACTCTTTTCATATTGTCATATAACATTTAAAAAAAAACAGGTATGATGAAAATTTTCAATTCGAAACAAAACAACAAGAGATTTCTTGGTTTGATAAAAAAGATGAATGAAAGAATAAAATCGATTATTATTTACATATCGTAACTCAAACAGTTTTGATCATAATGATAAAGATACATGAATAAGAAATGTTCTAAGTAAAAAATTAATAATATTTAGTTTAGAAGTTATTATTTGTTGTCATTCGTGGTGCAGATCGTCCGTATTCATCTGTTGTTACTTTCTTTTCATCCAATTCATCAAACCAAGAATCTACACCGCCCATAAGAATTTTCACAACATACTAAGTATTAAAAAAAAAACATTTAGAATTATTCAAACAAGTAGAATTACACTTACATCACCATAACTGAATGGAAATGATTTTCCTTGACATGCAAGAATTTCTTTTTTTTCATTTCGATAATCATCAACAACATCAAGATTTGGAATATCTTTATCCCAATTATTTAAATATGACATACATTCATCATCATCTAACGAACAATGAAATGATTTAGTCAAATCTTTTTCTTTTTCTTTTCTTCTCTATATCAAGTTCAATTAATTGCATTGAACATTTTTATAATTACCTGTACAAGCAATAATTGTAACTGGTATTCGATCTGTAGGTTTGCGTTCCTGTAGCAAAAATTTTCGTAATTCATCAACTCTTGGTTGACCATTATCATCTGTTGGTGCTCCATCAGTAGCTAAGAGAATAAGTAATTTACGTTCTTGAATTTCGTTTCTTTTATCTTTAAGAACTTGTCGAAGAACTCGAACCATTGGTGTTGGACCTAAAATAATTTTAACAATCAATATTTTATTGAATAAATATGTATAACATGCCTTCTGGAAGTAGAGCGAACATATTAGTCAACTCTTCTGAACTCTGTACATTATACATTGGTTCACGATTAAGAAAATAAACATCTACACCATCTGGATCAAGTGTACTAGCTAAATCGACAACAATTGATACTGTTTGTTTCAGTTCATCCCCTGAAAAAATCAATACGAGAAATGATCATTGTTATTTATAGTTAGCGAAATAATTTTACAGCGAGTTGGCGATTGGTTATGTGGACCAGAAACATCACCTTAAGTTCAAAAAACAAGAAGTTGATGATTTCGATAGAAAAACAAAATAATAGAATAACTCACTAAGTTCTGTATTCATTGAACCTGAATCATCACAAATAAAAACAATTTCATAACCATCTAAACCACGTAACTTTGCAGCGAAAGTAGTATTAACTAAGATGAATGAAAGAAATTTTAATAAGTAAGTTTTTGTTTTCTATTTAACTAAAAAATATTAAACAAACGAACTTTCATAACGGCGAATAAATTGCTGAAATTTCGCCATACGTTCTTGATCAGACATAAAATTCTGTCGATTGTTAGATAGGTGACGACGGTCTTCGTAAATGTTCACATAACTATCATTACGTGATCCAGGAAGTGCCGTTTCCACATATTGTTTTCGAGCCATTTTATAAAGTACAGAACTTATGTTCTAAGTCGATTTATTTGAAATGAAAAAGCCTAAACTCACAAATCTACAAAATTCAAGAAATCATCGATAGAATATTTGTTGCATATATATATATGTATTTATAAAGATATGATTAAAAACAACGATATATTGGATGACTATTGTGTTAAAATATTTATATCATCAACTAATCATATTAATATCTTTGAAAAAGTGAAAGACAACTTATTCATTCGTTAACTTTTCTATGTAAAATAAAAGATCGAAATGGTTATACTCTTTTACAAAGGTTTTATTATTTCTTCACAAACGAATCACGTGTTTTCTTTTGCAGATAAATAATGCTTTTTTTGACGCATGTTTAATGGAAGAATATTAATGTTTACCTTCTGTTTTATACTAAATCAAAAAATTTTTCTCCGTGGCACCAACATAAGTGCAGATAATTACTTCTAACACCCTACGACTATAGAAGTTCTCACATGTGTACTGATTTCTCATAGTTTGCATTGACTTATACTGTGGATATTTTTCTTATGCAATGTATATTTTCTTTCTTTTTTTCTTCAGTTTGTCTTTTTTGTTCTGTTACTCAGCATCACGCACTTCCTAGGTCAAATCTCTCTACGATTGTAAAATTATGACTCATTCTTACTGCGACTGTATTTTTACTACAGTGTAACGTGTAAATTTTTACTGTTCCAATTATAGCTCAATGAAAAAAATTTGTTAGAAAAAACGATGGCAAATATAATAGCTGTTTATTCATGATGAATTATCATCTACTTGGATTGGTTACTATTTTAGCATTGAATCATCACTTAATCTCTAGTTTTATTTATTGAAGCTATGCGTTTTGAACGACGATCTTTGATAGATTACTGTCTATAATTTTCATCATTACTTTCATATGAACTAGCAAAAGTATAGAGCACAGCATATAAAGCATCTCTTCATTCTTTTACTTCTTCCTAATGAATCAACAAAACTTTTTCTTTCGTTGAGAAACGATAATAATACAATCGAATAATGTCATACACAAAGTAAAGAGATGTGTAATAAAGAAGCACATTTTATAAATCACCACTACCCTGCTCGACAAAGTCAATAAAAAAATTGTTTTTATGCTTGATAATGTGCGCTTGTTTTTTTACACTTAAAAAGAACAACTTTTTTTTGAAAAAGAAAGCCAGTCTGAAGACAATGATACTCATACACTTGTTTTTGACAAAAATAAAAATTGTTTTTCTTTTATTTTAACACAAAAAACACACATTTTAACGCGTTAATATGAGCCCCTGTCCGACTGGAAACTATCTCTTTGCAAGTATTCTTATAAAACACATTAAAAAGAGTGTTGAAGTAGAACGGTAAAAATTTGAACCCGGCTCCTCCCACGACCACTACAGACCGTGACAGACAGACGTACTAATGAAACTAATGTATAGTGTATCGTTAGTTATTAGTTGATAAGAATGATTTAGTCTAATAAAACAGTAATTTATATTTTGTTTTTCGAGTGAAAAAGAGTTTAGAGTATGTACAACAGTGACTGGTCCGTATTTTTGGGAAACAGGATTTAAAAGTAGCGTGCAAGTATACAAATAAAAATTTAAATCTCCTTTCCTCTCATGCATACCGTGACAGCTGCTAGTGAGAAATTCTCACAGTTCGTCACAGACGTTGATATATCGTTACAGACTGTATATCAATAATATTTCGTTAGAATATATGAACTACATCGATATTGCATTGCTGGAGGATTAAATAAAAGGATAATGAAAAAAATCTGTTTCAAAAATAGATAGAATAAAACAATTTTTATGTGATAAGAAAAAGCAGTTGCATCGTATTTTACATTAAAATCCTGTATGGATTGCTGTAACGGTAGGAAGTCAGAGAACCTAAATTCTAGTTCGGAATTCGAACTGAACGAGTCTGGAGTGGATGTGAGAACTACTTAACGAGTTCAAATTGCATCGAGCATTTAGGTAGTTGTTCAAGCGGTTCTTGAAATGTAAAGGCGATTGTAGAAACACTCTTAGGTTTGGTCAAGTTCGTGCTCGGATAATATAAATTGACAAAAAATGTGAATTGATGAATATTAAAAATGAAGAAATATAGACAAAGAGAAAAAAAATTACAATCTTCGTTCTATTCGATGTTGAATTGTAATCTTCGAACATTAATGTGTTCAACTATTCTTTCGAACAGTCGTCAGTTTCGATTGATTAGTTTTCTCTTTGTAGTATCACAAGTATGAGTGAGAATCATAATTTTCTCGTCTTATCATACTCTCTCTCTCCATCTTACTTTCCCATTAACTCGTTGCATAAGGGTTAAATTACCCACTTGCATTTATATTTACACGGATGATGATCTGTTGCTTGAATAGCCTAATGATAATATTGTTGATGATCCTCCTGTTATACCAATAATAACACATTTTGTGTCAATTAATTTAATACCAGCAATGTACATCACTAAACAAAAATTATTCCTCTATTATATACTTCAGTCTAACAGACGTTTCATAGCATGCAATCAAGTAGATTTCATCACTATGAAAACTGTGTTACTTGAGTCAAATTTCTTTACTGACTTCATCGATATTTCATTATAGATCAGGGCTAGTGTGAAAACTCTCGGGCAGCAACAGTTCTGGGTCAGATATATGTCAAAATAGATATTTTAAATTCAAAATTTGCGTAAAAGATACTTGTCTTTCTGTAAAGAAAGGACACGAGAGAAATCCCAGCAAGTTAATAATGAACAACGCGAAATAAATATGTGCCTTTCGTTGACCGATGACAAAATCATTATTTATTGCTTTAGTGAGTATATTCATTTCTTTTTCTACCAAAGATTAATACTTAATAAATATTTGAATGAAAACTAAAAACAATGAAAATAGTTTTAATCTCAAAGTGAGTGATACTCAAATGGTAATCAAACATAAATCATACATCCTGTCCAACTGAAAAAGATGATGCTTGGTCAAAGTTGAGCAGAAGACTTCTCAAACACAAAGCGACCGAATTTGTTCAAAATTCTTTCAGATTATTATATATTCTACATCGATAGATGATATTTATTTTAAATTATGATGAAAATGAATGGTAGTCATCAGAACTGAGCAAGTACTGGTCTTCTCGAGTGCGAATACTTACTTATACTTAGCCAGCTCTCATAGTCATCAACTAAAACGAAACGTTTCTTGCGCAAAAATGAGGAAAAAAAAGGTCGTTTTTGTTTTATCACATTTCGAACATTACTATAGGATTGAAAAAAATGGAAATAAAAGTAGTATCATATAATGTTGAGCTACAGTTTGGTATAAGTAGATTTTTCTCTTGTGTTGTTTCCAAACTGTAAGAACTATACTTTTCTAGTGAATCTAAAAAAGTTTCTGACAACATTACTGTAATGTTTTAGTGATAGCTCTTTTGAGGAACAAACCTAAAAAAAGCAAATTTTATCATCGTGAGTTCTATTGTTTTTTCTATGAATACGAGTGAAAATACTTTAGTTTAGAGAGAAATTTTCCAGGAATATGAAATTTTCTGAATACTTCAAATGAATAGAATCTTTTGAACGAGCGCATTACCATGGAATGAAATAATAATTTCAATGAAACTAGAATTGTTATATATCCTACTGCAGTGTAAGTTGCTAAGTTATGACAACCAAAAAGATCAACAACGAATGAGTGCGTTATCTATGGACAAGCTGTATAAATTATGTTAGAAATACTTTTCGTCTAGCATAAATCCGTTTTGTGAAACTCATATATATTTTCGAGGAAAATAGTCAGTGTAAGTTTTAATGCGAAGTTTTGCGTATTCCTATCCATCACCTTCCTCATTACAGACCTTAGCCACCGACGACAACAGGCGTTAGACTCTTTTTAGCAAAATTTCTTAGCGACGGAAAAAGTTTTGAGAGACAATAACAACAAGACTTCAAGTGTTTTAGAAAATTCTAGAAAGATTTCAGTCATCGTCGAAATTTGAATGACTGGAAAACGGTTGTGAAAGTTCGAAATAATGCTTTTTGTTTTAAATTTTTGTTCAGATAAAAATTTATATTACAGACGCCAAGGACGAAGTGTGTCATGATGCATTGATTTACCACAATCATCATATGGCCAACAAAAAAAAAAACGTGAATTTATCAAGTCATAACTTTGGGCAATAATCAATGTCAGTGTTTTGGACCTTATCGAAATATGTACACCTGCTGTAGATATAATAGATGTTCAACAGACTTATTTGCCAGTTAAATCAATGGTTAAATTAATAATAATGTTAAATTTAAAAAAAAAAAAGAAAACCAAATAAGAAAAATAACGAGTGAACAACAGCAAAGCTAACTTCAAAAGTAAGTAAGACGGATCACATCTCTGACGATTGATTATCTTGTAAAACAACTATAGTCTACCACACATTATGAGTGTTATTTCGAATAATTCATGAAACACTCAAATACACACTGAGAAAAACTTCAATACAAAGAAAAAGTACAAAAAATTCTTCTGTTTGATGAATAAAAAGGATGAAAAAAAACAAAACTAGCTATTATTATCATTCTACAAGTCGAATAGTGGTAAACATGACGATAAAAATGAATACATAAAAATATTATTCGTCAATAAATAATAGTATTTAGTTTAAAAATTATTATTTATTGTTATTCGTGGTGAAGATCGTTCATATTCATCTGTTGATATTTTTCTTTCATCCAATAAATCGAACCAAGGATCTATACCGCCCATAAGAATTTTCACAACATACTAAGTATTAAAAAAAAAACATTTAGAATTATTCAAACAAGTAGAATTACACTTACATCACCATAACTGAATGGAAATGATTTTCCTTGGTATGAAAGAATTTCTTTTTTTTCATTTCGATAATCATCAACAACATCAAGATTTGGAATATCTTTATCCCAATTATTTAAATATGACATACATTCATCATCATCTAAAGAAAAATTAAATGATTTAGTCGAATCTTTTCTCTCTCCATCAAACTGAATGGATCGTATTGAACAATTTGATAATTACCTGTACAAGCAATAATTGTAACTGGTATTCGATCTATAGGCTTGCGTTCATATAACAAAAATTGTCGTAATCCATCAATTCTTGGTTGACCATTATCATCTGTTGGTACTCCATCAGTAGCTAAGAGAATAAGTAATTTACGTTGTTGAATTTCGTTTCTTTTATCTTTAAGAACTTGTCGAAGAACTCGAACTATTGGTGTTGGACCTGAAATAATTCTAACGATCAATATTTTATTGAATAAATATGTATAACATGCCTTCTGGAAGTAGAGCGAACATATTAGTCAACTCTTCTGAACTCTGTACATTATACATTGGTTGACGATTAAGAAAATAAACATCTAAACCATCTGGATCAAGTGTACTAGCTAAATCAACAACAATTGATACTGTTTGTTTCAGCTCATTCCCTGGAAAAATCAATAAGAGAAACCACCATAGACATGCATAGTTAATGAGATACTTTACAACGAGTTGGCGCCTTTTTATATGGTCCAGAAACATCACCTTAAATTCAAAAAACAAGAAGTTGATGATTTCGATAGAAAAACAAAATAATAGAATAACTCACTAAGTTCTGTATTCATTGAACTTGAATCGTCGCAAATAAAAACAATTTCATAACCATCTAAACCACGTAACTTTGAAGCAAAGGTAGCATTGACTAACATGAATGAAAGAAATTTTAATGAGTAAGTTTTTATTTTCTATTTAACTAAAAACAGTTAAACAAACAAACTTTTATAACGACGAATAAACTGTTGAAATTTTGCCATACGTTCTTGATCAGACATAAAATTCTGTTGAGTGCTAGATTGGTGACGACGATCATTGTAATTGTTTGTATAGTTATCATAAGGTGATGAAAAAACTGTCGGTTGCATGTATTGCTTTCGAGACATTTTTTAATGCACAAAATTTATCTTCTCGACTGAAATATTTTAAATAAATATAACTTCAAACTGACAAATCTGCAAAATTAATGAAATCATCAATACCATTTTGGTTTCATGCATAGTTTTAGAGGGAAATATTTGAAAAATAAAATATGAAAAGACTATTGTGTTGAAACATTCAAACTTTCAGCTTACTACGTTTATGTCTTTCAGAAAGCCCAAGACAACAATATTGATTCGACAAGTCTTCTATCCAAAGTGAAGTATCGAAATGGTCATACCATTTCGCATACGCTTTTTATGTATTGAGCAAACAACCACCTTTTCATTCGTATGATAAATATTTTTTGGATGACATGACAGATGAGTCTTCTGACTAGTAGATATAGACAAGACGAAACCGCAGCCAATCCTTTTTTTTTATTGGAAATGATGTCTTCTATGGTCGTGTAAGGTTTGTGTTAAATGTCATATTCTCACGACTGATAAGTTCTAAAGATTTATTCGATAATTATTGAGTAACGATCACTTCAATATTTGCTGTAACAACTTTGATAGTATAATTAATTCTTTTTTCGTAAGCATCAGAACTGTTGAACACATAAATTTGCACGATAGACGAAATATTAACGAATTAAAAAAAATAATGAATCTCCAAGGCAGACCATATTAGGAGTGATGGAGGTCGTGCATCATGTCTCGAGCGCATTGATACTGCTGGAAAATGATAGTGCATAGTTCGCTCATACATGTATTACTAAGCGTGAAATTCCTCCCAAACTTTTTTCTGGCTAGGACCGCGAACAAAAAAACGAATGGTCCCGCTCATCACTATTCCCGACACTTAAAGCTGACATAAGGAACAAATAAAAGAAATACAAGAAAATAGTTTTATTTGAATGAGTCCACATCAACATCAAAAACTGAATAGAGCTTTTGTTCGTTTAAAGTATAAGTCTTTTGTTATTAAATGAAAAGTCGAATGTAGTTGGCGTCATTTTCTTATCAAGAAGTTCATATATAATATATTTCTTTAGTTTGGCTGTCGATGTTTGTCTTCTCTTGACTTACTCACACACATATCCTTCTGAAGGTTGGTATCAAGTTGTTGAAGTACTTATAATTTCTAATATATTTTCCTCAATACAATAGTTCATCAATTTCTATGTAGAATTTAGCACAAGAAAACTCATCAACTTATGAATCTATCAAAGATTCGAAAATGAAAAAAATATGCGAACTTAATAATGACTGAACAGTTGCATTTTCAATTAATAACAAGAAACTTATACTCTAAGCGAACAAGAACTTTGTTCAATATGTGATGTCAATGTGAACTTATCTGAATAAAACCATTTTTCTCATATTTCTTTAATTTGTTCCTTATGTCCAGCTGAAGACTTGCGAGCTCATCTGTCAATGCACCGTTTTTTTTTGGGACATATGTTTGCTAAGATAATATCGACATTTGTCCTCTGTACCACACTAAACATTAAAAAAAATTCTTTCGTGGTTAAAACATTTATCCTGATAGTTACTATCCACTTACTACGACTACAGAACGTCTCTTATGTGCACTGATTTCTCATAGTTTGCATCGAGTTAAGCAATGTATATTTTTTTATATTACTTATATTTTCTTTCTTTTTCTTCTGTTGGTTTTTGTTTTGTTCTGTTACTTCTCCAGTGTCAAATACTTCATTGACCAAATTTCTGTATGATGGTAACAGAATGACTAATTTTTAACGATGATTTACGATTCTGCAGTGTAATGCTTAAATCTAAACTGCTTATTTTTATTGTCCAACGAAAACGATTCATTGGAAGAGCTCGTAGCGTATATAATAGCTGTTTATTTATAATGATTAATCATCTACTTGTATTTGTTATTTTTACAGCATTGAATCATCAGTTAATATTGCGTATTATTGATTGAAGCAATGCATTTCGATTAACGATCTATAAGAGATTATTGTATTCCATCTTCATCACCAGTCTCATTGAATTACCAAGTACATTTATTGCAGCTTATTAAACATTCCTCCAACTTTTTTACTCTTTTTTTTTATACTAAAATTTTTTCCTAATGAATCAAAGAAAGCTTAGTTTCGCTTTAAACAAGAGCAGCATACACTCGAAAAATGTCAGGCGCAACGGAAACAGATGAGGAATCAACAAATGCATTTCATAAGTGATTATTTTCATTGAGATTAAATCGATGAAACAAAATTTTTCACGACGTTAAAATGTGAGCTTATTACGTTTGGTAAAAAGAAATCTTTGGTTTTTGAAAAAAGAAAGCGAGTCTGCAGACCATGATGATCAGAAATCTAGTTTTTATAAAAATAAAAATGTTTTTTTTGTATCATTTTGCAGCGTCAAAAGCGTAACTTTAACGCATTAAGATGTGTCTCTGTCTGACTGGATATTGCTTCTTTGAAAGTGTTTTCGTAAAACGTGATCTAAAAGGAGTGTTGAAGTATACGGGAAAATTTGGATGTGCCTTTCACTCTTCATTCATTGTATATCAATAACATATCGTCATAATATGTAGCCTACTTCCTTGTTGCATTTCTGGTGGATGAAATAGAAGGATAGTGAAGAAATGTGTACCAGAAGTGATAGAATAAAAAAGTCGCTCTGTAATTCGCAACAGCAGCAACATCATGTTTCACATTTTAATCTGATATAGGATTCTCTTTAACCAATGTCCATCTTCTACATTCATCTGCTACTTTCTATTACTGATGAAAATCTTGTTCATGTCAAAAAACACCGTATATTTTAATTAAAACACTATTGATGTTTGCCTTTCCCGTACACATCATTAATATATAAACTGACAAGAAATGTGAATTGATGAACCTTGAAAATGAGGAAATCAGGACGATAAGCGCAAAAAGTCACACTTTTCTTCATGATCGACGATGAGGTGCAATTTAGGACATAAACGTGTTGAACTATCTCTTTCGAAAAGTCATCATTTTCAATTAATTAGTTTCCCCTCCAAAGTACAATAGTAGTGAGAATCATCATCTCTACTTCTTCTCTCT